ACCAACACACAAATGGAAGAGGGAGAAGCAAACAGGAGCGGCACACAAGGTTCCACCGCATGCACATACGGCGAGAGCGGTCCGTCGTGTCTGCAGCCCTCACGGAGGGTACGCACAAACACACGAGAATAGTTGCAGCGCACACAGCAACACAAAAGCAAAGTAACAATTAAAAAGGATGATCCCCGCAAACCAATTGAATTACTGGTCCATGGGAATCGCAGCCAACATTCATCGCAAAGCAACTTGTTATCTTGTTTTTTCTGTACGCTGTTGCAATAACGAGTGAGTAGCGCAAGGGTCGTCCGTACAAAAGTGGCAAGCATTCCGTCCGAAACGTGCCGTCGTGCGGGCTGGGGCACTCCCAAACAGTCGCATTCCCAATTACCAACGACGGGGGCATTTCTGCAGTGGATGAAGCGAAGTCTCTCGTGGTTCATCTCGAATACCCGCGTTTTTGCTTCCTGCGTGTCATAACTGCTGGCACTTTCTGTGGCGACCTGTGCGCGAGGCGCCTGTTAAGAAGACGCTGGCATCATTGTGGCGTCCGCATGGGGGGTCTTCTCCGACTATCGGAATGCCGGGCTGAGCACGTCGGGCATGCGCCCTCATATTGTGGACGGACGAGCGCACTCTGCCGCAGGTTGGGCAGGAGGACGTCAATCCGTCGCTCGCTGGTAGGAAAGGATTTGCGGCGCTCACGTCGGGAAGAGGTTCTGGCGGAGGCAGCGGCGGGCCGGTCTCCTCGTTGAGGGAGGGACGGCACCACCGATACAGAGGGTCAATTGTGATACGAAGGGCACGCGCAGGCCTGTCGAAGAGTGGGCAGGAATCGCACCGTGCCTTTGTGCATAGCCGCCACTCGGGACACGATGTCCGGGTCGTGCCGGGAATAGAGTCCCTGCCACACCGACAGGCGCCTGTCATGCGGTGTACGGGCCCTTCCTTTTCCTCCTGCACATCCTTCCATTACGGCCACCTGACTGCAGCGAGGAAGTCCACGTGCCAGATTGGGCTGCCCTCCTGCGGGAGGGATCGTGCAATCGTGGCTTGTTCGTCAGCGGCCTCATTGCGTGGGATACCGCAGTGCGATGGAGAGAACATGAAGTTTACAGAGTGACCTTGCTGTATCAAGGAGAGCAGTGTAATCCAAATCTCTTCGGTAACGTAGTCTTGCACGGCCAGTGGAACGACGCGGAGTGATTCCATCGCCGAGAGGGAGTCCGTTGCCACCAGGATTCGTGTGGACGATTGGGATGTTCCCAGACAAAAGGTATGAGGTGTCTAATGCCATTTTCGATCGCAAGGCACTCTGCTCTATATGAGCGTGCGAGCCTGCCAGCTGCTGCACGATGGACCTCCACAGGGAGATCATTTGTCGTGGTGGAGTAATACAATAGTGCAGCGGATCCAGATGCGAGTTCGGCGAGAGATGAAGAAACGTCTGTCCACAATTCAAAATCATAATCTCCTAGAGAGGAGTAAATAGAATCAAAAGCCGTGCGCTTGACATCGTCAGAGGCGTCTTGGGCAAAGCGTGGCTGAATAAATTCCACTTTATTGCAACTCACAGTGTCCCAGGGGAAAATTCGATGTTGAATAGGAGGAGCGCGATTGTGGCTGTGGGGTATCCCAATAGTATTACATGCGCGTTCTAATTCATTAACAACAGCATCTCTCGGAGGCGGGATCGATGTCGCCGCTTTCCTATGCACGGACGGAGGCATGGCCTCCAATCAGATTGCGCCACGCACGTCCTCAATATAACGGGGAAGTGTGAGGCGTTCGTGTTGTGTGGTTGTGCGGAAACCAATGATCCTCCGCAGCGGTGCTGGATTGGCTTCCAGGTGGACAGAAGTATCCTTCTTTGCTGCGCGTGGGCCGAGCGATGCCGTGCAGCTGTCGCCGTGCCTCACTTCCAGGCTGTGGAGGTGAATGGGGGCCGGACACGGTGCGATTGCCTCGCCGCCTTCGTGCAACGCACTGTGGACGCACCCAACCAAAAAGTATCGCGTGGTGTGATGGGACGCCCCAGCCTCTGCACCCAGCCGCAGCTGACAGCGGCGTGGCACGGTCCGCATCGCAGTCCAACTAAAGCATTGTTTTTTTATTTGCGTTGTGGTGTTTGACGAAGCTGCGTAGGAGCTTCCCGAACTGGTGGGAGAATTGCGATTCTGAAGAATGCGTTGCAGTTGCGCAGCGCCGTTTTGAGGAGCAGGTGAGTGCCTGTCTGCATTAATCAGCAAACAACATCTCGGATGACAGCAGGAGGCACTGCGGTTTCTCCTTTTTGCTGCACAGCGACTTTCTTGGAAGTCACGTTTGATTGGCAGCTTTTGGGCCTTTTGCTGGAGAAGGTGGGAGGCTGAGGGCATTAGGACTGAATTCATTTGGGTGGCTGCGTTACGTTGAATTTCGACCAGTCGTGGCACTCTGGTTTGGCAGCTCGTCTCTTTTGTTTACTTCCCACCGCAGCACGTCGATAACACTGATCCGAAGAACATTTGTTTGAACGCGTGTGAGCTGCCGTGCGTGGTGCATGGACTATGTGATTGTGTGGGGAGGTGCGTTGGAGTGACGAATACTTCTGTTTGGCATGTCGCGGTGTGTCGGAATGATGTTTGCATGACATGTGGAGGGTGTCGTTTGTAGTTTGTGTGTCTTTTCTGGTGGAGCCGACATGTGTGCAGGGATTGTGGCATTGCTGGCTGACAGCTCCACGTCACTTTTCAGCATTCCTGGATGTGCTGAGGAATGACGGCTGGCGACCAGCGTGTTGGTGCTGCCGGTGGGAATAAGTGCATCGGGAATTGGCCGTTTTCCCTTTTCCATGCTGGAGCCGATGAGCTGGCACGAGGGCACCGGCTGCAGGCTGCCTGCCAGCACGTGTGAGCAGCGGATCCATGCACACACAGACGCTCATCGCAAGAGCGTGTGCGATCACAGTGGCTTTTTGTGGCGTGCTTTTATGGGCGTCAGCCCATCGAAGAATGTGTGAAGCAAACGGCTGACTGAGCACGAGGAAAATAAGTGCGTGCACTGTGCCGTGTTTCAGCGTCGATGGCAGAGCGACAGGAAGCCCGTGCTGGCAACTGAGATCTTTGCGTCGCGAGGGATGTCGGTGTTGATTTTGGATCGTCGAGGGTGGAGTGATTTTGCTGCTGCCCGTGTGTGTGGCCACTCCGGCAGAGGGCGAACACAAAAGGGAGGGATGCAGGCGATGCGTGTGTGTGTGCAGGTGCCATGCAACAACGCTACAACAAACATGCTGCGACTCGGTGACCCTCACATCGCTGTGGTCCTCACGAACAGCCCAGGCACGGCCCGCATCGATGCACTTAGTGGACGGAGTGAGGCATCTTTTGAGGCGCAGCAGGGAGCAGGATGTGTTGACGCAGCCACGACGTGCATGGAGTGTCACGATGGCACAGTCAGCTGTGGCTGGTGGAATATTCACTTCTCGGAGGCAACAGAGAGAGAGAGAGAGCTGCTCCTGCTGCTGGCGTCGTTGCTGCCTTTTGTGGCCTCCCATGCCGATTATTGTCTGTCCGCTGATCATGGGTGTTGTGCCTCCACTAGTGACGTCGTCTGCAGGCATTTCACAGCACCAGTGAAGCACACATCACTTCGCATGCATTGGCTGTGGATATGGTGTCGTGCATGCAGCTGGCATTATTTTGCCCGACTCCTTTTCACTGCTTTGCGACAAATAGATGCGTCTCCGCCCGAGTCATTCACTGCAGCTCCGTGTGTTGTACTGCCAGCACAATACTCTCCTGTTGTCTGGCGCCTGGCTGACAGTAAAACACCACTGCGCTGGGACATGCAAGGATGTGGACTGCCGCTCACGGTGTTGGGCACCGCTGTTTGGATGCGGCGGCCACAAGAGCGGATGTATTGTGGCACAATGAAATGCGTGAAATACGCGGAATCACAGCGTCTGCAATAATATCAGCAGTGTGGCGCCACGGAATGTGTGAGAGGGTGATGCATGCTGAATCACAGTGGGCGGCATGCGAGGGAAGTGCACCGCGACGGAGCGTCATCCCGCCCCCAGCCTGCAGGGGAATGTACAACCACAAAATATATGGACGAGACACCACCAAACACACATGCCCTTCCATGCACCAATAAATAGGAGCGAAGGTGCGTTCTGGTGTGTGGGAGCCCACTCACATATTTTCATTTCCACCGCAATAAACGGTGAGGAATCAGGTGCCACAGCAACGAAAGGAGAAACAAACATCTATTGCAACGCTTTAACAGCGAAAGGCAGGAACAACACAAACCGAATTATTGGCTGCACCAACACAAGAAAAATTCACAAGAGGAAAAAATAATAATTGTGCACCCTGCAGAAATCCTCAACACACGATGTAGGCATGAAGGTTTGCCCTCCGCAAAAACAAAAGAACAAAACGCATGCAGACATCTGCCAACATTCAAAAAGAAACGCAAATAAATGGTTGCTTGTATTATTAGATTCCCTGTGCCTATTTTTAAACGTGTGCTGCTGCTGCGGTGGTTGCCGGGCCTGCATGAAGTGGTGTGCGCCGAATATGAACGAAGGCCGAAGGCAACTGTTTTTGCGGTAAATATTGGCTGCACTTCCCGTGGACGAACAATCCATGTGGTGTGCGGGGATCTTCCTCTTTTTATTGCTAGTTTGCTTTTGTGTTGCTGTGTGCGCTGCACCTCCTCCTGTGTGTGTGCGTACCCTCCGTGAGGGCTGCAGGCACGACGGACCGCTCTCGCCGTATGTGCATGCGGTGGAGCCTTGTGTGCCGCTCCTGTTTGCTTCTCCCTCTTCCATCTGTGTGTGTGTGCCTGCTGCCGTGGATTGGAGTGTGTGCGGCGTACGGTGCATGCCTGGCTGCTGCCCTCTCCTCATGTGGTGTGCCCTCTGTGTGTGTGTCTGCCGCACCTCTCGTTTCCCCTGTTGCTCTCCATGTCCCTCACTGTGCAGATCAGCTCCACACCACCGAACGAGCACACTCACGATGATGATGACGTGCCGTCTGCTGTGCGCCCTGTTGGTGCTCGCCCTGTGCTGCTGCCCGTCCGTTTGCGCGGCAGGGAGTGAAGATGAAAAAGATAGACCTGAAGAAGATTCCGATTCAACGAATTTTAATCCAGAGGTAACAAATCAGGTGACGCAATTGCTTAGTACAACTTCTATTTCTTCGCCAGAGATACACAATGAAGGGAGAGGGACGGAAGATTCACAAAAAATGGGGATTCTTGCGTCATATACAACGGGTACAATAGAAGAAACGCCACAGTCACAAAATACTTCCAATATTACACAGGATCAAGATGATGGGGAGTCTAATGAACGGACAGAACATACGAATACTGTTACGGCAAATGGACAAAAGAAGGCCGCCGCACCAACAACGACCACGAGTACAACACAGGCACCAACCACTTCAAATACACAGGCGCCAACCACGACGACGACCACCCGCACACCGTCACGTCTTCGCGAAATCGACGGCGGCCTCAGCAGCTCTGCGTGGGTGTGTGCCCCGCTGCTGCTCGCCGTATCCGCGCTGGCGTACACCGCTGTGGGCTGAAGAACTGTATGCAGGTTGTGCGTGCCAGCACTCAGCCACGAGTATTTGTGCGCGTCTACTGTGGTCCGATGTAAATAAATAAGAAAAAATTATGGTTGTGATTTGCTTTATTTGCTTCCGCTGCTCTGCTGTGTGCTCCGTGGTGTTTTTCACATTTATCACGTTGAACGCATCCCAGAGACACTTGTATGTACTACACGCACACAACTGCTTGCATGGACGCATGTCCGTGTGTGAATTCATGCACACTGGAGCCATACTGTGCACTCCTTTGTTTTTTGTGTGTTTTTACATTTTTTACTGTATTGCTGTTTGTTTACCCGTGTTTTGTTTTTAAAATTTTTTTTGCTGATTATTAATTGCTGCAGGGCGTTTTGTGTGTTTTTGCCCTTTCACTGTTTTCAACTGCCTCATGGTGTGTGCGCTGCCGCTTCTGGACTGCTGCCATTTGTCACTGTGCGGTGGTTGTGTGTGGTGTAGCGGCCGTGACTCTCTTTTTGCTTTCACTCTCTGTTGACGGCGAGTTAGTTTGTGCTGAAGGCTACACGCAAGTGACTGGAGTGATGGCGATGATGATGACTGGCCGTGTGCTGCTGGTGTGTGCCCTCTGCGTGCTGTGGTGCGGTGCGGCTTTTGGACACGCGATGGACGATTACTGCAGTGAGGGTGGAGGGAACGGTTTGAGGCACACGAGTAATGGTGGAGATGACGGCGTGTCTCTAAAGGCGGACTGCGGGTTGTTATCCACTCGAATGGCATTAATAAAGGCGGTTGAAGCTGCGGAAGCTGGACAAGATGAATTGAGTGGTGGTCCAGGTTTATCTCAGGATACGAAGGAAAAGTTGGACGATACGTCTGTGGGAACTAATACAGTGGGCAGTGCAGCGGCTGGTTTAGGAGGAGGTAGTGTCGCAGGTCAGACAGCAGCACTACCGCCGACGCCCGGAGGCTCAGGTACAGGAGGACAGGTGGTGAAGCCAGAAGGGTTGGATGCAAATGGAGGAAAGGAAGCAGATCATAAGGAGGATCGCAACGACAGTACGGCAACTGGGCCCCAACACCAAAGCGTTGATCAATCATCTTCTTCCTCTTCTTCATCTGGCAGCCCTGGCACTCAGAACGGTGAAGAACACAACTTGGAGGATAATTCCAAGAGTGATGAATCCTCCGATGATTCACCGGAAGATGACGAAAGTGATCTTCTTAGCCAATCCGACAGTCGTGAAGAGAAGGCGGAAGAACTGGTGAAAAAAAAACGAATTAAATACAGAAAATACAAGTCATGAGGCACCAGCACTAACAACAGCACCAGCCGAAGAGACAGAAATACAAGCAGCAATACCAACAACACCACTGCATGGACATTCCGGCGCTGAGGATTCAGGAGAGGTGCAACAGTTACAACAACCCCAAGACGGCATTGAGTCAAACAACAATTCACAAACAAAGAGCGCTGCCTCCATTACAGCCAATCAACACAATGAACCATCTGGCGACCATGCAGAATCAAGGCCACTATCACCCACGGCAAACGGTGATGCTGCCAATAATGAAGCTGACAAGAGCACTGAAGGGGACATCCCGAACAATGATCCAGCAGCTGATGGTGCAGGAACACGAGAAAAACAAAATGAAAATAAAGAAGCCAATCCGAAAGAAACATCAGTCGAAGCCACAGCCACGAAAACCACAACGGTGACGGCTGGCGACAGTGACGGCAGCACCGCGTTCTTCCACACCACCTCCCCTCTTTTGCTTCTTCTTGTGTGTGCGGCTGCTGCTGCGGTGGTGGCCGCGTGAGAGTGAGGGAGAGAGAGCCGTGCACCGCCCGCACACACACTTGTCCTTCTCTCTCTGTGTGTGTCTCCCTTGCATGGACTCTCGCCCTCACCTCATCCCACGCAGCACACACATAATGTGCCCATTGTATATATGCATGCACACCCATGCAGGCCCGTTGGTGCTCTCTTTTGCACGACACGCACCGCTGCCGTCCTGCCTGGCTGCATGGGCGGAGCACCGTAACTGTTTCTGTTTTGTTTTTATTGCATTGAGTGGGCGACCTCTCTCTCTCTCTCTCTGTGTGTGTGTTTTGCTTTACGGGAGCAATGAGAGTGTGTGCGCTGGTCGTCCCACGCTTCGGCTTTTTGTTTTGTTTTACTTCTGTTGCTGTTGAGAGCACCCATTCCGCGGGCTGTGTGTTTGTGTGTGATGATATGAGTAATTTGCGTGTGTGCTTTTCGTTGCTTTGTCGTTGTTTCTTCTGACTCTCTTGTGCCGCACAGCTGCTCTGCAATTATGGGCGCTGCCAAACACACAAATGCACACGCCATTGCGCAGACGCTGTGGAGTGGTGTGAAGTCTTAGAACGCACGCACGCACGCTGCGGATGGTCACTGAGGGCACTGTGGGGGTTGGTGTTTTGGTGCTTGTGGCCGTATTTGGCAGCGCTCATATCCACCGTGTTGGAACGGCCGGTTTGTTCGTGGGCCGGTGAAGAGAGCAACGGCGGAAATGGTGACTCCCACGCAGTGCGTTCACAGTAGTCTCTCGGTCAGTGGCAGTGCGGGGAGAAACAGTCATGACAGTTGCAATGCCGTCACGCTTGTTTTTGAGCATCCTGAGAAACGGTAAAAATATATTTGCACACACGACGCTTTGCACCCCCGCTTCAGGGCTGCGCATCACGATGAGGCTGCCGTGCGGTGATGCCATATGATATGAGCAGCTGGGAGAGAAAGAGAGAGCGCTGTGCGATGCTCCTGCACCCGGAACTGACGCTGTGCAAGTGGTGGCAGGTTGGTGGACGGTCACACAAACACTGCAACACCACGAGGGAAGCAGACCAAACACTCCGCGTGCAGGGAGCGTTGCGGCCGATAAGAAATGTGTGCGACGGTGATGGACGCTCAGTCGACGACGGGTTGACGGTTTCTCCCATTGATGGAGTCGATGCGCACGCGGTGTGTATGGCCGCCTCTGTGGTCTCCTGTTACTCCGCTGCGTGTGCCGCATCCTGACGCACCACTGGCAATAAATTGTTTTATTTCTTTTCTTTCTCTTTTTCCTTTGTCTCCCGCCTCC